TTGTAAATTAGCATATCATGGCTGAAGTCAGGATCAAGCCCATTGGGAGTATTATTGTCTGTCTGTCTGTCTTTCAGGGATGAGTTGTCAGAAAGTTTCCCTTCCCCAAAATGTGCTCTCAACCTGTCACAAGGCACATGTCCTGACAAACATATACTCTGCACGCAGAGGAAGCAAGAGTCATGTTCTTTCTTGTATTTTTCCATCTAGGCGAGGATATTTCCTATAAACATAAACCAAACAAAGAGGGGAGTACAGCAGCTGGGTAAGCAACCTGCCGTGAGGACACCCCATGCTTACCACCCTTGTTCTTGAAAAATAACCTCAAGTTGCTGGTAGCTGCTGGATTGAGTCAGGAATATACTCCAATATTTGTCTCAAGAGCAAACCAAAAGTCACGGAAACTTACTGAAGAAGGTTCAGCTTTCACATTTACCATTGGTTCTTGAGTGCATGGAAATTCTTGTCCTGCTTTCACCAGTGGCTGCTTGCCAAGGTGTGATGGAGCCCCTGGATGAACCCCAGCCCAATGAGAGGTCCTGGGAACAACCCTAACCCACCTTCCTCCTCCAGAAATATGACTGGAGCTGTGGCAAGGAGAGTTTGTGCTGCCTCTGAGCAGTTCCCTTGGATTTGGAGTGTGAGTTTGGAGGTAAGAGTTTAACATCTAGCAGTCACACAATGCCTGGGAGCCCAGTGCATCCTCACACCAAGCTCAGCATCAGCCGTGACTGGGCTCAGGCTTGGCCAAGCCCTGCAGAGGAGCGAAGCAATACCTTGGGGTGCTGCGGAGGCCCGCTGAGGCTGGGGGAACGTGGAGAAGGAGATTGTTTGCTCCTGTGGATCTTCAACATTCTGCCATGTCTAGATGCTTGGTTAAAAGGTCCTCAGAAAAACATTCACCCTACTTTCAGCCCTGGTGTCCATCCATAAGGGGCTTGGTGGTACGGGGGTGCCCACGGAGTCTCTGGAGATGAGGAAATCTCAAATGTGGCTTCAGAGCAGGTTCCTGGTAGGGAACAAATCCAACTCTGTGTCCTTCCCTCACAGGCTGGGGTCTTGGCAGCACAGATGGATGGCAGTGGTGGCTGGGAAGCTGAGACCTATCTGTCCCAGTCCTGCAGCAAAGGTGAAACAGCTCAGGGAAGCTGTCTGGGCTGCACAACACCTGAGCAAGTGCCTCCTCATGCCTGAAGGTCCCTGGCATGGGGATGTCTCAGGGGCAGTGTCTCCAGACCCCCATAGCTTGCAGTCCCTGCAGCTGAAGTTGCAGCCGAAGCAGGCAGGGACGGGGGTGGGCTGTGGGGCCAGGGCTGCCCCATACCTGCATTCCTACCTGTAGTGAGAGCTGCCCGTGACTGACTGCAGAGGCAGCCAGCTGCAGGTCTCACACAGCCTACCAGTGAACTTGTCAGTGTTTCAGTGGGGAATCACAGAACGAGAGCGTGCGATCATCACGCCTCAGCTGCCTTCCTGGAAGAGCAGGCATTGCTGTGTACCAGAGCAGCTCTGTCGGGCACAGCCTGGGCTCTTCTCTGCTCCCTCCTGGAGAGGAAATTGGTTTCACCATTTGCTGCTTATTTTTTTTTTTGCAAAAATGCCAGGAAGCTGACCTACGACGTTCTAAACTTGTGTGAGCCCGTAATTCTCACATTTTGGATACATGTCTTTGAATTAGGCATGAGTTCTTGCCTATCTCCATCCCCTCCCTCCCCAACTCTGGATCTTGCACTGGTTTTGTTTCTAAAAGAAAGTACCCTAAAAAAAAAAAAAAAAAAAAAAAAAAAAAAAAAAGTGGGTGGAGGTTGTGCATATGTATTTCTGAAATTGCCTCATCATTTCTATACTCACCCAGTGCAAGTGTCGCTCAGCCTGGGTTAACAATACTGGTAGCACTGAGGATCGAAAGCTACATTTCAAGTAATGTATCTGGCATTGTGTCCGAAACAGGAAAGAGGACAGCTCATTCAGAGGCATCATAAACACCTATGCACAGACTGTCTTTTGCAGTTTTAATCTTCTTTAGCTTGTCCTCCTGCCTCGCATATGAAAACCCAAGTGCACGCCAGATTCGGTGGCTTTAGACACGTGCTCTCAGAGCCTCTCAGAGCCCTGCTCTCCCTCCTGAAGCCTTCCTTGGCCTTTGGCACCCCGACGCATCGCAGGCTTGCTGCACGCACCCAGCAGTTACCAAAATTAGCTGCGTTGATCAAAGTTATTTTGGTCCCTCTTCCACAGGGACCCTAAAGCTGGAGTCTTTAGGGTTTTTTTTCCTCAACCCTTTGCAGTCATCGCGCTGTTCTAGTGACAGGGAAAGCAGGCAAGCTGAAGTGGCTTTGGGGCTTTGCAAGCCTGTTGGCACTCTGTAGCAGACCCTGGTTAATTGGTCCTCTGTCCTGGTTTTGGCTGGGATAGAGCTAATATTCTTCTTAGTAGCTAGAATAGTGCTGTGTTTTGGTTTCAGTGTGGGATTTGGTGTGAGAAGAATGTTGATAATGTAACAATTATTTCAGTTGTTCCTAAGAAAATCAGGGACTTTCCAACTTACCATGTTTTTCCTGCCTGCAGGTGCAGAAGAAGCTGGGGGGAGCATAGTAAGATTAACAGATCCCAATTGGTATTTGGATATGCCAGTGGGATATTCCACATCATATAAAGTCATGTTCAGTATATAAATGAGTGTTGTCTGGAAAGTGGGTCTTTTGCTCTTCTAGGATCGTGGTTTCGGGTTCTCTTTCCTTCTCTGGGATCACTAGCTGGGAACAAGCTGGGCCTTGGTCGATGGGTGGTGAGCAATTGCATTGTGCATCGCTCATTTGTATATTCTATCATTAATGTGATTATTATTAGTAGTATTTTAGTTAGTGTTATCATTATTAATTCATTTTATCTCAGTTATTAAATTGTTAACCTGAACATCTCTTTACTTTTACCCTCCCCTCCCTGGCAGCCCTTACTGCCATCCTGTTCACTTTAGTTCCTGTTTCCTGGGAAAGTGCTCTCATCACCCCAAAAGGAGTGTTTAACTTTACTTCTCAGAAAAACAGTGGAACAACCGATTGAACTGTTTGTAAACACCTAGAAGGAAAAAGAATATGAGTAGCAACCAGTGTGGGTTTCCAAGAACAAAACCTAATGTTGTCTTGCAGGGTAAGGAAGCCTCTTGGGCAGAGTAGCTGTGGGTATTCACTGTGCCTTCAGTAATAATTTTGCCTCTCTTTTTCATAATATTCATGAACATGGTCTGTATGAAACTGCTGCTTAGCAGAAGCGGAGCTGGTTGAGTGATTATTGATGGTTTGTTGTCAAAATGGAAGGACATACCTGGTCCTTCTGGGACCTGCCCTTCTGCAATGTGCCCTTCACCTTGGGGATCCTCTGGGCCCTCTGGCAAGCCAAGCAGGAATGGGGACATGCTCACGGTGAGATCTGAAGATCTGTCCTCTTCACTGCTGCTGGTAGTCTTTGCCTATAATTTAAAGGTTTGGCCTCCACTTGGAATAAATCACTAGGACAGCAGTGCTGTTGCTCTCACTGCTGCACTCAAGTAGTACAACTTACAGCCGGTGTTGGGCTGCCTTCTTGTGTGCAGTTGGTTATTTTCCACCAAGGCTGTTTTTGCCTCGAGAATTACTGGTCACATGCTTTGCTTTAGTAAACCAGTGGGAAATAGCAAAGGAAGCCTTGTGGTTGTAGTGGAGGGGGAAAGCAGCAAAGTGTTACAAAGGCAAGATTTTCATCCAGGCCCTGCTGCTCAGCATGTGCCCCAGCTGTTGCTGTTTAATGTTTCTGTCCAGGTTTATTTATCAA